ACAGGGCCACCAATATTACATAGAATTTATTTTAAAACTATAACTGTAAGAATATTCTTGTATTGTTGTCCTAACTCTCTTACTACGAGTGCTCTAAGTCAGATTCACCAGACTCTTTCAACTGCACAAACTTGTAAATTGCTTGTTTCAACTTGATGAACACCACCTGTTTATGAACAAGGGTGTGTTCATTAGACTGCATCATTAAATTGCTACCTAAAACAATTTATGGAGAAGTTTGATTCACAAAAATGTCACTGGAGAATAAATTAAAAACAATTATATACCACAGAGCCTAAAGTCCTGCTGTTGGAAATCATCAGAGGTAATTTCTCGTCAAATGTCTCAGTAGTGATATTAGATTACCAAAAACAAGTGTACAGTTTTCAACATTGTGCCATCTCAGAGCCTACTTTAAGGTCTTTTGGTAAGCTCTAGCATCCAGAGGATGGATGGCTTTCATAGGTATATTGATGCCACTGATTTCTTACCATATTTTAGATATATAAAAATGGTAGGCTGGGCTGAGATTAAAAGGAAATTGCATGAAAAAGTCCATCCAAAGCTGAGTGCCCTCATTCTGGCACCACTGTTCAGAGCCGTATCTCGACAGCAATGAAGAGGGAACGGTTTGACATTAAGTGAGATGTTAAAGCAAAGCGGTCCAAGGCGTTCAAAGGGGATGTGACAGTCACAGAGATGAACGACAGTACATTCTGTTATAGGTGATGTCACACTGTCAGGATACAGCAGAGAATTTCTCCCTCAAGAGCGACCTGAGAGACCTGAGGAAGCAGCAGTGAGTGTGATAAACCTCCCAGCAGCTACTGAATTGTACAAACTAATCTGGTTTGAAGGCAAAAACAAAACAAATCACCATTACTGCGCCAGCATTTTACCCAGACAGCGAAGGCCTCATCACACCAGGAAGTGGCACAGCAAAATTTATCCATACGTCTTTGCAAAACATGTTGTTCTGATGTAGTGAGCTAATGGCTAATACACTCGCTAGTGACGCTCAAACAAAAGACTTATGAAGCCTGCCTTAGATCACTGGGACACTGGCCTTGAGCCTGGTATCGTGTCCCAACATTTTTGTGTGACAATGCAAATCTGCTTTATCTGATGATCTATAGTTACAATAAAAAGGTACACAGTCACACCACAAACATACTGTATATATCTTGATCTGATAGTGTTGTTATGCAAGCAGAAAAAGAGAACTACGTAGTACTTCATCTGTTTCGCTACTATGTGTTGAGAAAGCAGCTAGTTCTCACACTTAGAGGTGACATGCTGGCTAGTTACCAGTGCTCTTCAGTAGTTGTGCTGGGTCTCTTACCTTTGTCCCCTTTTCCGCTGGTTGGCCGCTGATTCAGGAATTTGAGTTGCCTTTGCCTAACTGACTTTGGTTTTTACATTATGCAGCCAGTCATTTCCAGGGCTACTGTTTTGGTTTTGGAGTCATCTTTTTGTGTTGTTTTTTTGCAAATAGCACTGCTTTATAATTGTTTCTGTGCAGTAGAAAATCAGCTTGTTGGGAAAGTTTACATATATATTTTCTGATTAACTTTGACTTCCACTTCTCAAGGATATCATTATTTCCTTTGTCAGTAGCAAATAATCATGCAGAAATCTGCAAAGACATCTTAGGAAAAATGCTCCTTATAACTAGAAATATATCAATTGGGGATGTCCCGATCAAGTTTTTTTAGTTCAGTATCTGCCGATACAGGGTCCTGATCTGTTACTTTGCTACTACTACTATTTTTAGATAATGCAGTGGCACAGTGTACATTAAAGAGGAGGACAGAGGCGGACAGTGGAGAGAGTTGACAATGGCAAGAAAGCTTTGTGAATAAAAACGGCTGCATGACAACTGATAAAACTAAAACAAAAGATGTGATCGGGTCAATAAAGCTTAATATAACTGATACTGATCAGTTAAAAAATAGCTTGTTCAGCACCAATATCGATCATTGAGATTGGATTGGGACATCCCTAATTTTTGAACAAGCATATAGTATTATGATGCTACCATTGTATGGCCTAGCTCAGGTTAACCACTTTGTCAGCGTCTGATTACGGTGGGTCATGACTTTGCTATCCTGGGGAAAAAAAAGGTGAACAGGACACTGCTGCATCCAGGTCCCGTTTCCCCAGAACTGGCCGCTGAGACAGTATCAGGCTGTAGTTTATAGTGTTTATGTATGTTTATGTTAAAACTGTTTTAGGTTCTAATTTTATAGATATTGTTTACATTCTGCAACAGTTTCATGCTTTCTGATTCCTTCATATATTAAATAAAGAACGCCTTCAGTCTATACAAGAAGACATTACATATAGTACAATAAGCCACTATAAACCTATACAAAGGCCCAGTCATGCAAAAAACAACAACAAAAACTGTGATGTAACCACCAGAATCAGCACTGAAAACAGACTTGAGAATTCAAAATCACTAATTTGCTCCTTTAAACCAGAAGGTGACATTATGTTGCTATGACTCATTTTTGTTTAAACATACCAATTTTCTCTGTAGAATATGTCAAGCAAACAAAGGTTCTACCTCACCCCACCCACCACCCTCTATATTTGCATGCACATATAGGATGACTTTTTTCAGATGGGACTTTTTGCTGGCAAGAAAAGGAACGATGAATGTCCTAAGTTTTTCCAGCTACTGAATATTCAACCAATGGTGACCCACCACAAACACTGTAGACCCAAACTGGAGTGCTAGCTGGAAACCATGTGAAAGTCTTATATTTAGTTCATAACAAAAGCAAACACTGAGCTTAAATTATTCTGTTGATCTTGTGGTTTGCTGCCATTTTTTACTTCCTGTTTCAATGTAGATGACATGATGACATGTCATTAGGTTAGATCTTACTAAATATTTTAATATCAAAAAGCAAATGCTTCTCACAACAACCACACACGCAAATTAATTTCATTAAGTCCTTTTCATACATGGAGAATCATATGAAATAATCTGTTTAAGTGATGGATCTTTGTTATTCGGACAAAGTGTATGCCAATGCCAACATTAGTGCCTTTCAAAAAAACTTTCATGGCTATTTTAAAAAGAGTCTTCTTACCTCAAGATATCTGAATGAGAATTAGTTCTCTTTATGCTAACCCCATGCAGTTTGGGCTAAAAAAAACATGCTGTTATTTGCATGCATTATAAATGTGTTATTTTTGCATATATGTGTGATTATTTTCGTCCCCACAGTAGCCATTTTATTGGAATGAAACCATTTTTTAAAACTTGACCTCATTGTGTAAAATGACCTATTGTGACCTCTAGGATAATCACAGGCTCGCCATCCAATCGCCAAAAAATGCATTTCTTACAGATGTTAAACGTTTTTGATACCAAATCACAGCATGGGTTTTTCTATGATGCTCCTCAAAGTCTCGGTCTCTTAATGTGGTATTTTGGAGGAATTGTTTTGCCATTTTATCTAATTTCGAATGGACAAAAAGGGTTACATTTTGCACCAAACACATGGTATCAACCCAAAAATGCAACAACTTATGAGACATAATAAAGCATGGAAATAGCCATCATATTCTTCCATTATAATGTTCTAACCCCTACACACTCTAAACCTTTAATATTTTAATAGGTCTAAACAAAACACAATGTTTGCTACAGATTTATGATAGATGTGTGTCATGATTAAAACCTGACACACAGTACTGAGCTGCAACCTAAATTAATCTTCAGGATCCCAGCTTTCAGATGATGTACACCACTTCTATGTGACATATACTATTGACCTGCTATCTCCCCCTCAACATCCTCTGCCAACCCTAAAAATCACAAACATTTGTTGGTTTGTTGCAGGGAGGGGTGGAGTGGAAGAGGTGCTTGTCCTTTCTCACATTAAATCCCCTGATACAGAGGTTTAAAGGGGAGGTGTAGAAGATACTGTGTGAGGTAAAAGAGACAGGTATATGCCACTGTTGGAAAGGTTAGTTGTTGCAGTTTGGTTTGACCACTCAACCTCATGGTCAGCAGCTGCAGCTGCAGCACCAATGGCTGTGACACACAGCCCATGGGGGCAATTAAGCTACTTTTAAACCCTTAGCACCCAATTACTGATGCATGATGCACATATTTTTAGATTCAGTGTGACTTGCACTTCCCAAGGATGTCATTATGTCCTTCGTCAGCAGCCAATGGACATGCATAAATAGAAAAGAAAATCAAAAAAGAAAAAACTGTAGATTTTTTGATTTTCATAAATTTTCTATTTCACACTTCATTAAACTGACAATTCTGTGGAGTTTTTTTGCTAATGAACAAAGTTCAGTTTACATTCAGTGCTACTCAAGGGGCATTTTTTGTATCCTTGAGAGGCTAGTGATCACACCCAAACAGGATGAAAATTCCCTGACATACATCAGATGAAGTCATAAAAACATTCCCTCTGAGTAGAGAAGGAGTTCTTCAATGTGTGTGTTCATTCTAAAAGCAACCTTTACATTACAAGCTTGATCTTGAGAGTTTAAAGTGGTATATCTAGAGGATAAGTAAGTGTAAAGCTATACATGTCTCTCTGTTTATTCACCAGCTTAATGCTGAATGCAATTACAGCACAGAGCATCTTGATCCACCATGGGTAGACAGTAAAAGGGAGTAGAGCTTTTAAGGTTTACCAAAGTCCAGTGGTCCCATTAAAAGATAATAGTGCAAGGAGGCCCACTTACCATACAAGTGAGAGATTCTAAATCTAATACTTTCTGTGAACTTTCAGTGGATATGTTGTGTACAATTTCAGCAGGTAGTCACAATACAAACCATACATCTTCAAATTAATAAAGCAACAGTTTACATTTTAATGTGAATACATACACTTATTTGCTTTCTTACTGTGTAAGGTCTATGTAGTGGCAAGGATCTGGCGCTACATCATGATTTTCTCAAAATGAAACATTATTAAGTTCTTGGAAACAAACACACTAATAAAAAAAAGGTTGTCACTTACAGCGATTTCCCTGCAGGCAGACATCGATATTCCAGTGCCTTCTATTTGTTTCAGTGCATACTCCTTCTCATCTTTCCTGTCGAGATAAAAAAAAAGAGAAAACATTACTAGATGGCACAGATTTTCTTCACCAGCGCCTTTTCAACATCAACCTCAAGACCTCTGACGCCTGCTTTGGCCTTTTGGGTTTTGATTATTAAAGTCGGAGGTGCTTTGGGAGGAAGAGAAAGACAGCAGAGGGCAAGAAAAAGCCTGGGAGGGTTTCGACTATCACAGAGGAATCCCTGCCATTAGCGGTAGCCTTTGGCACCAAAAAGCCATCTGGTCCCTGCAGTAGTGCTCTGTTGTTGCCTCTCCCGGCATGAATTACACCCTTGATGCAAAGGCAGATGCTCAGGATTCAAACTACACACCGGCTTAGCTGCAGCCCCTCGTTTGCGTCTGCTCTTTGTTTTTACTCTCTGGCGATTCAGAATAAGTCATTTGCTCTTGTGAATCACTTTTGTGCACGAAAATCAGTTACTAAGTGAAATGTGTGACTGCGGGGTTCAGCAGAATATGGATTATTAGGATAAGCAGCGTATGAACCTGAGCAGGGAGCAGTGTGGAAAATTAAAGCTATTAGGAAACATTCTATTTAAAACAGTGCAAAGAGGCGTGATTAAACTGTAAACACAATCTGTGGACGCCGTCCAATAACAACTTCATTCAGTTAGCAGCACGCACGCATCAAAAAGGTCCTCGTGGTGCTGAGATCAAACCCACTTGAGCCTAATTTGCATTGGAGATGGTCATGGATTAACTGGAGCTCTCAGGCACACATCGCTAATACTAACTGAGCTGCACAGATGCTCAAAACAGCTCATAACGTTTAATCTTTTGGTCTGTGAACTACATTTCCTTGTATGAATTTAGCCAAATGAACATAATAAAATATCCGCGACTCCCCTGTGAAAAAGCAAAGGAAGGAATGATAAGAAAACCATTGAACAAGCATCTAAAGATGGATGTGTGCTTGTAGTTTTCATTCAGACATAACATCAAATATCACTCTTTCCAGTTAATGGACAGCTTCTTCCTATAATCCCTCCTGAATTGACATTTTTCAGCTTGAACAGAAGGAGCTTTGCATCAGATCAGAGCCTGCTCTCTTAAGGCCCTGACACATGAACCCATCTTCATAAAACTAGTAAAAAGACTGACAACTGCCAGCGTCCCCTCACATCTTCTGTTAGAAGCTGCATTTGAAATTAATATGCCGATTCATTTCTCAGTGAATTCATAAAAATACCACAAAATGCTGAAATCATAATTTCTCAAAACCCAGAGAGACATCTTCAGATTGCTCGCCTTGCGCTCAAATGAACAT